AAACAGAGAGAATGGAAATTGACGGTATGTTTTTGTGATTGTTTTGTTGTTATATATTGTTTTTGTTTTTTGTGTGCGATGCAGAAAGTGGGAATATGCGGTTAGGATGTCGGGTGATATGCAGGAAGTGGTCGCACGCTCTGGTTTGTCTTCATTGGGTTCTTCAATATCTTCGTCAGCTAAATGATCAAGAGTCTCATCGTCTTTACCAGTGACACTAGTTACCATAATGCGCTCATCGCTGCGCGGAACGCTGCGCAGCGCAATTTAGAGATAGCGCCATCCAACTCGGCCAGCAGATATGAGCCTCCTTTAGTGCGGCGCACTACAATCATAGGTCCCAAGTATTGCAGCTTCGTCTTCTTGCTTAACTTGTATTCAACCTTCGAATTGCGCACCAGTACTAAGGTACCGGGTGCATGGTTGTAATCGCGGATCGTCGCGTGAAAGTGCTTCTCGAAATTGCAGATAGACGTGTAGCGCACTTTCATTACCTTGTCCCTGATAGCGCTGAGATCCTCTATGTGCTTCTGTAACTGCCATGCATGCCAAGCAATGAGTTCTGCGGTGGTAAATGGTGCGTGTGCTGGCGTCGGCGCTAAGAATGTAGCTTCTGCAAGGTCAAAGGGGAAGATCGGCTCAATGCCGTGCACCATCAAATAAGGCGATAAGCCCGTTGACTTGTGCACGGTGACGCGCTTGGCCCAAAGTATGGAATGAACAACTTGATACCAATGAGTATCATCTCCATCGCAAGTTTTAATGATGGCCTCCCGGACATCATGGTGCCGGCGCTCTACTATACCATTCGCTTGCGAGCTATAGGGCGATATGTGGATCGGATGGATATCATATCTTTCCACGAGCATGTCCATGGTGAGTCTATAAGCGGGTGCATTGTCAGTAATGATCTAGGTGATAGGACCCCATCTGCATAGTAGCTCTTCATATATGAAGGCCATGAGCGACTTGGTATTCTCCTTGCGCAACATGCGCCATTCGGGATATGATGTGAGTGCGCAGCGCGCCTGTACTAGATACTCGTATCCGCCTGCTTTGAGCATCTTCATGGTATCAATGTGTACTCTGTGAAACAAACCTCTGGGCATTGGTACCATCGGTGGTACTTGGAGCTTCAGTGTCTGCCTGATTTGGTATTCATGGCATGTGCGCATGTACCACTTGATATCGTCATTGATGTGCGGCCACCAAAAATGCAACAGCAGCTGCGAGCGAACAGCATATACACCCTTATGACCTAGGTCATCATGCGCTTGTTTTAGCAATCAATATCGCTTATGCGGTTTCACCACAAGCTGGTGTTTACCGTTTGCTTCACGGTGCCAAAGGTTGCCTTCAAGGACAAAGAAGCGTGCCGCGTGATTGACGAATGCGGCAAATGTATCATCTGTAATGTCAGCGGGTCTTTTGCGGTTGAAAAGGAATTGCTCTATTACGGTCATACGCTCGTCTATCGCTTGCGCTTTCTTGGAGCACAGGACTTGCGGATCATCTGGTATCGGTTCTGCAACATCAAGAAAAGTGCGTAAGACTGGTAAGCACCTCAGCGGCTGCGTGAATGGCACTAAGTGCGCGGAAAGAGCATATTTGGCATGGCTGCCTCTACTTGGAGCATCCTTTCATTTAGGATCGCAATTCCAAATGAGTATGCTCAGTCAATCCAATCCTCGTGATCATCGGCTTCCTCTGGATCCTCATCTACACGCGGTCTCCTTGAGGGACCATCAACGCCTGCATGTTTTGCTGGCAGGTATGTGAACAAGATTGAATTGAAATAGAAGAATACCCGTGATCCATCGATTGATGGTCGTGTTGGGTTGCAAAGTCAGGATTGTTGATCATACCTTTGATATACTTCGCGTCCACCTCGACCGTCAAATTAACAACACCGAATATGTAGACACGCACGGCACATAGCACGCAATACAAGCCATAGAGCTCGAGTTTCACTTGTGAGTAACGGCTCTCCACTTCATTGAGCATGATTGATCTGAAGTGATTGGGGTAGCGCTTGCCATCTTCGCCTACTTGCAGCAGGATATATCCGATCGCGACACACAATGTGTCTACTGCTAAGATGACTTCACGGCTACTTTCATAGTCTATCCGCCAAAGCGCAGGGGAATCTAGTACTGAGTCCTTGAGCGTTTGCATCGCTTGACACTGCTCTTTGCCGAAACTTGAATGGAACATCTTTCTTGGTCAAATTGATCATTAAGTGCGTGCAAATAAGCGCTTGGGTGTCACTGGGAAAACCTTGTAACCACATGCGATTCCTCTCGGACTTCCCTATGTGATCTTTCACGATTAGCAAGTCAGCGATTTCTCAGAAGGCACGACAATAATTGCCAAGCTCCGTGAGCAAAGGCATCGGCAACCTCGCGTATTTGTGCGTGACCACTTGGAGGTCGGATACTGCATATCGCTTTTCGCCTTCGCACCCAGGGTACATTTCCATTACCTCTTTAATAAACATGTCATAGTCGCTTAGCTTTGCTTTGGGCATACCGGCCCAAAGCATGCGCTCGCTATTTGGCAAGTAGCGGATAATACCCTTGATACGATCGCCCCCTAGCAGGTTCACATCATCGGCGCATGCTTCATAATCCTCGATGAAGGCGAGGAGGTTCTCTGCGGGGCCATCAAACTTTGGCGCTTTGTCCAAACCGTGGACCGGCATTCTAACGGTTGTTGACATTTTTACTGGTTGGGGAGTGTTGATAATAGGTGCGAGTTGTGTGGTTCTTATCGGAGGTGTTTGCGGGGCTGGGGGAATATATATAGCGGTGCAGTTCTGAATTGAGTTTGGTCGATAAGGGATTCCTTTTCTTCTTTCTTAATAGTCAGCTGCTTCGGTTGATAAGGGCGCGCGTGACCACAATAAGGGTTCTTCTTTTATGGTTGCGCTAGAAACAGTTAGTGGGGTAAGCAGAGAGAGAGGAATAAAATTAGGATCTGATGGATTCCTTGGCGTTTCTACAAATGCACCCAGCAGTAAGTTGTGGGGGTTGTTGTGTGACTCAAAGTCATCCAAGGATTTGCCGTGTACTGATTCTTTAGGGGACAGCGTGACTGGCGATGCGGGCATGAACTGGGTTCGGCAAAAATAGAGATAGATCTGGGTGCACGGGCTCCGAGAAGTTCTGAGGGCGATTGCACTTAACCGGAGTCAAAATTTCCTGAATGGTTGATAAACCTGAAGAGGCGACCACTCTTCTAAATTCTTCTAAGGCTTCATTTCTTGCTACGCAGTCTTTGGTAGGCCTGAGTACCCTACCAGCTTTCTCAGATGATCCCCTCGCGGTGGGCTCCAGTTGTAGGTGAGGAATGTAGAAAGGTTAGAAGTGGGTAGTATGAAATATACTCATATGGTCCTCTGTGTGCAAATCTAATGTCGGCCCAAGGGGATTGCTACTGAGAAGGTTCCTCTATATATAATAGTGGAGGGAAACACTGAACCGGGCTGTCAGATAAGCCTGGTGAGGCGCACGACGATGAGCGAAGCGCGATAAGCGAAAGTGCAGCGAAGCGCTACTGAGCGACAAGTACGATGGCGCGCGCTGAGTAAGAGCGAAGCGCACATGCGGGTGGTGGAGCGCAGCGACCCTTAGACTGGTGCTCATGTCGGCTCTGGTGCTTAGTGTCAGTTGGTGGATATGATGGAGATTTAGACTTAGAGTCCAATGTTTGTGCGGGAAGAAGAAGATAATCATTATACATCGAGGCATGAGTATATATATTCTAAGTTGTATTAAGCACTGTCAAGCACTAAAGCAAGCCGGAGAGCAAAGCGAGTATGTGAAGATATGTAATAAGGGTCCGTGATGAAACATATGGAAATGTGTGCGCAAGCGCCGGAGATATGTCAGAATACATGAGAATAAATTAGGAACACACACCGACAAACCGAACGGACATGGAATGGATAAGTGGAGGATGAGCGACAGAACCGAAGGTGCGTGTGCCAATGCGCGACTGAAACACCTGTGCGCACAAGCGGCCGACGAAGCGCCAAGTGCGCACAAATGAGGTACAGGTCGCACTGTGTTTGGGAGGTGATTAGGATGTTAGAGAATTAGACCTCTACGAGGCCACAGAGATGTTAGTCTCTACACTGCTTTGTTGAAAGGCATTCTTCTCGTCTGGGTCAGTACTGGAGCAGCTCTCTCGAAAATGCTCAAGGACATGCTGTCAATGAGACCAACAATCAAGAGTGGTACAAGCTACTTGGAAAGACAATCAAGGAGTTAAATATTGAGGAGGACTATATGTGGGCATCCGATGAAAGTGGTTTCCAACCAGGAATGGGGTTCAAAGAAAGGGTCATTTGACCTGCAAAGCAAAAGACTCAGCACCTGCAATGAGATGGCAATCAAGAAAACATTACTGTCATGGTGACCATATGTGCTGATGGCACTGATATTCCTCTGACCATGATCTACAAAGGGAAATCATTTTCAACAAGTTAGCATGACAAGAATACCCTGGGTGCATCATGAGTCATAACAATCTTTTGGAAACAAAATTCGACTCAACATAAATTCAGTGTTGCTCATTCACCAAAGGGCTGGACTAATGGCATCATTGGCCATCTTTGGATCGAAGATTTTGATAAGAAGATGAGCAATGAAGCTAATGGTCATGCACGCTTGTTGCTCATTGATGGCCATAACTCCCACTACACAAAGGACTTCCTTGATTATGCTCGCACACATAACATTCACATACTTTGTTATCCATCACATTCAACTCATGTCTATCAAGGCCTTGATGTGGTCATATTTGGCCCACTGAAGCATTACTGGATGCATGAGAGGGATCAGTTCGAAAGTTCAAAGAGGCAAAGGATTACAAAAGCAAACTTTATCTCAATATATTCGAGAGCTCACAAAAAGGCACTGAGACCAGAGAATATCAAAGCAGCATTTCGCAAAACAGGTGCATGACCATTTAACCTTGATGTAGTCACAAATGAAATGATGGCTCCAAGTTTGGAGATATCATCCAAGGGTCACTTGCCTTTGCCGCAGACTAGTCCTGTAAAAGCCCTTGCAAGTACCATTCAACAATACCTGAAGGAGCACAATGAAAACAGTTCAGGTCCTGCAACAGGTTCATTGCACTCACCTGGCTGGATGATGGATGCAGCAGAGCAGGCTATCGAAGGATTGGTATCAACATCTGCAGCATTTCTTGTTTCAAGTTCCCCAGTACAATCCACTCACAGTCTCCTGCATTCGTCTCGACACCTATTACACCAACTCACAAACAAAAACACAACTTGCTAGAGACAGAACCTGAATCAGCCAAAGAGCAATTGTACTGGGATGCCCTTTGCAGCACCTATGATTGCAAAACTCACTACAAGAGTGCACTGGTTGGCATGCAGTCTACTATCATCCTGCAATCCATGTTCTGTGATTGGCTCTCTAGCCAGCTTGCAGCACAGGACAAGAAGAAAAAGAAGACTAAAAAAGGTGGTCAGCTCGTTGGGGATGAGCTTCCAAGATTACTTATGAGTGATGAATTTCACCACCATGTGGTTGAACATCAAAGAGTTGCTGAGGAAGAGGAAGCAGCATGCAGAGCTTGCTGAATAGAAAGAGAAGACAGGACAGAATTATTGAAATCATGGAAAGAAGCAGAAGCTGTGTGGCTGGTGAGAAATAAAGCATGCAGAACAGTGTACAGAGATCAAGTGAAGCTATGGGAGGCAGAAAGAGACTGGGCCAAGTTGGAAAGATGGAGACCAGCATGGAACAAGCCAAAATTTGGGAAACTGGAAGCACCACTAGCAAGGCCAACATTGAGTGATCCAGAGGCAGCTGAGGAGGGCCAACAAGATGGCAGGGATGAGGAAGATGCTGATGAGAATGATGGCAATATAGAGACTGACATCTCTGTGGCCTCATAGAAGGCTAATTCTCTAATGCCCTAATCACCTCCCAAACACAGCACAACTCACATCTTGTTCCCATGCACTTGGCACTTCATTGGCTGTGCATTGGTGCATATATCCTCGGCTCCATCACTCATCCTCCATCCATCCATTCCATGTCCATTTGGTTCATTGGTGTGTGTTCCTATTTTATTCTCATGTATTCTGATATATCTCTGGCGCTTGTGCCCAAATTCTGTATGTTTTGTCATGAACCATTATTACATGTTATCTCGTACTCGCTTCGCTTTCCAGCTCACTTTAGCGCTTGACAGTGCTTAACGCTACTTAGAATATATACACTCCTGCCTCTCTGTATAATGATCATCTTCTTCTTCCCGCACATCGTTGGACTCTAAGTCTAAATCTCCATCATATCTGCCGACCGACATTAAGCGCCTGAACGCACACGAGCACCAGTCTTCATATTCTCACATAATAAACATGGTCTTATCCATCTCCCAACTCACTTAGGGCCACTGTGCTCCACCACCTGCACGTGTGCCTTGCATTCACTCAGCGCGTGTTACTGCACTTATCGCTCAGTAGCACTTTGTAGCACTTTCGCTTCTTGCACTTCGCTCACCGTCGTGCGCCTCACCAGGCTTATCCAACAGCCCGGTTCAGTGTTTCCCTCCACTATTATACATAGAGGAACCTTTTCAGTAGCAATCCCCTTGGGCCGACATTAGTTTGCACACAGAGGACCCTCTGAGTATATCTCATACCACCCACTTCTCATCACTCTACATTCCTCACCTACAGCAACGAGTCTGATGGTGGGAGTGAATAGTTTGGTCATTAACATTACTGATTGTAAAGATAATGTCGGACTTACTTTTTTGGTGCTGGCTCAAGTGGATGTGGAACAGTGATAAAGACTGAAAATGCTGATGCATTCACAGCATATTCAGACATTGATCGATGGACTCAAAATTTGATTTCATATATCTATGAACATACCTTAAAAATTTGTACCAGACAGATCTATATAATACCTATTTGTTGTGCAACAGGAGGCCAACGAAGTGTGCCTATTATAGACTGTATATCCTACAGCGTGAAAGTCCAGAAATTGTGTAGGCAAGAACAGTAGCGAGATAAGCTATCCGAAATGTAATAAGACTCAAGGCGAGCCGCTACAAAGATATACATGTAATAGCACACGAGGCACACAGCTACATATATGTATTAATCAAGCTTTCAATGGGCCAACAATGTATGTGCCCCTAAGACATAATCAATAACAGATAAACAAGGTGAAAACACACCAGCAAAGTCAAATGGACACAGTGTGAAGAAGTAATAGTAACTGGCCAGCAAGAAAGCTAGAGCACTACTAAATCCAACTGAGTGCGGGTGTACTGTCTCAACCCAAGAGGATTGCTATGAAGCACTTCCTTCAAGTATAATGTGAAGGGAGCAAATGCAGAATGGAAAAGAACTAAGTTGACCTTGGAAAAGCGAGTCTGCTGATAAGAGCAAAAGCGAGACTGCGGGTCCGGTGAATGCACGATGCAAAATAAATGAAAGCGAGAAAATCCTAGGTAAAGAGCGGCGGGTTTCTAGGTAAGGCGTGGTTCCACAAGTAGCAGCTAGGTATAGACGAGGTTTATGGCTGAGGTATAACTAGGTATGAAATGCTAAGTCGGAAAACCGGGAGCGGTTTAGATCCGCGCAGAGCCTAGGTAAGGAAACTTAGAGGTGTGTTCTCGGAGCGGTCAAGAACACATGGGTTCGAAGTGAGAAATGAACAAAGCTTGTCAATTGATCAAAAGTACTAAGAACATCTAAGGTGACTCCGCAAAACAAAGGTAGCGTCCGAGGGAAGGGAAGTGATGTACTGTATATAGCGCGCAAGACTTTATCCTACTGCGTGAGCATCTGGAACCCATAGGCAAGAACTGTAGCGATGGAATGAGGCAGATAAGTAATATGTAATGAGAATGCGCGCGGAACAGAATACACAGTTACATGTAATAACCCTTGATATTGTTTAGTCAAACTGAGAGAAAATGAACATGCACCAACGGAGATAGGCAGACATGGAAAGGACATGGACGGAGGATGGATCCAAGTGCAGGTGTATGCCAAATGACTATCGGCTGAAGGAAACTTCTAGGGGAGAACTGGAATGACATAGATCCAATGAGTTTCCATAGACCTTGACATGAGTATCAAAAGACACTCGTTCCCACCCAGCGCGGGTCCGAGCATCACAATGGACGGGACATGGTATGGAGGATCAGAAGTGTATACAGGCCTCAGAAAAGGATGGACGACCTTCGGACAACTTGGGAGAATGCTCAGAACCTTCAGAAGGTAAAATGAATGTCGAGGAGTGCAATGAGAGATACCTGTGAGATTGGCAGGATACATGCCCAGCGCCAATCCGAGTGCTACACCAGTTCAGTGTTTCCCTCCATTATACACATAGAGGAACCTTCTTAGTAGCAATCCCCTTGGGCCAACATTAGCTTGCGCACAGAGGACTGTCTGAGTATATCTCACATCACCCACTTCCCATCACTTTACATTCCTCACCTACAACAGTTCTGATGGTGATTCAGAACAATGTGTTGGGTCTTGCAGAACCTAGCTGCTATTTGACCCTAAAGGGTTTCTGGACCAGGCTCAAGGCTCAGAGGAGAGAAAATGTCATAAAAACTACTGAAGACTCAGACTCATACTGGTAACTGGTGAAAAGGTAACTTGATTATGTAAGCTACAAAAGTGCAAACATAACACTAAGGTAAGAACAGTCTCTACAAGCCTAGCCAGGAATTAGTTCCTACATCAATGGCCCATTTCGAGCCTGGTTTACTTGAATAGTACATATAGCAGCATACATCATGCATTATTACATGCATATCTGTGTAGCGACTCACCTTGAGTCTTATTACATTTCAGATAGCTTATCTCACTACTGTTCTTGACTATGCAATTGTGGACTTTCATGCTGTAGGATATAATCTGGCCCACTAGCTAACTCGCACTTTACTTTACTTCCCTTGTTATGAGTCATAGTTAGTAGAGTCACTTTCAGATAGTCATACTTTGCACAATCAATCCTCTTGTTCATTTGGAATGATTGTTTAGCTTGACCACTGCCATTTCACACCTCACTGTCTTTGAGTTCTTTCAATAGGCTTTGCATAGTCATACTTTGGTACTCTTGCAAGTCTTATACTTCAACATACTTTGACATACCCACCATATTTACCTTACTGTTTCACTGGAAGCTCTTCAGACACTTCACACAACCTTGGACCTTGGTTTCTTGACTTTGGACAACTTTTGCTTGCATTGGACAAGTACTTCAGTACTTCAGATACATCCTCAGGACTTCAGAATCACCTTGGGTGACATTTCCTGCTCATCATTCTCCATGTTAACAGTTCTTCCTTGCACTTATATTTTAAAAGGTAGTTCTACAGGCAGTCTCTTTGGAATGTATTACACTTGCACTCTCCAGTTCTAGGGTGATCACTTTCTAAGTGCCAACATAGAATCAACTCTTTATACCACAGTGAAACTGTGTTGTGACCACCAGAGAAAATTTATTCAACAGCAACAGCTAATCAAAAGTGAATGAAGGGATCTTCATGTAGCTTTTTACAGTGCAGAGCCTTTGTGCTACCTTTGTTTAGAAAATGTAGTTAGTCTTCATATGTATAATGCAGCTTCATATTTTTGAGTTTTAACATCTTGTGAACATTAGCTAATATCTCATGAATATAGTGTGTGTGGTAAGTTGGTTGCCATGGATCTCACTGAAATATGCCATTCAATAGATGGGACAGATTTTTGTTCAAATTTCAGATATATTTTGTATTCAGATAGGCTTGATGATCACATCAACCCAATGCACCGCAAATGCAGTTTAATTTATAGACCATAAAATTAATTCTGTTTGTACTACTACTACACACGACTGGCTAGATAGACAATACTAGTAAAGTTATGCAGTGGTTAGTATTTTGACACATTTCTGCACCCAAAAACTTGTCTGTAAAGTGGTAATGTTGAACCAATGAAATAGAGACATGTAGCACTACTCACTGATTCCACCAAAGTAGGAGATTGTCCACCTCCTTTGCTGCTTCTCACAAGAGACAAAGCTTGAAGTAATCAACAATATTGTGATAAAATTCTTCCTGGTCAAAGTCATCATCCATAATATGCTGTAGCACTTGAGCTCGCGCTGAGCTCATATTCTGTTATTTCCTGATACACGTCTAATACCCATTGTGCACTAATCACTTCCCGATGTAAGCTGACACTAACCCTACAAAACCCGACACTTTGACTAGCGGACCTGGTGTTCTGGCTGCATCAGCCAACCTGAAATCCTGCGCACTTGTCCTATCCGTGTTCTGTCCTGTCTTGTTAGCCCCACTAGGTGTGTAGTTGATTATTTCACACATTACTCACATCATAGCATGCACTATTACATGTTTTCCTGTTATCTGCAGCACCTCATTGTGTGTGAGGAATGATAGCTAGATGAGAAGGGGAGAAAGGGGGAGAAAAAGTGAAGTGGGGTAAAACTAAAATAGACCTCTGGATGCGAGTATAGATTCGGCCCAAGGGGATTGCTACTGAGAACGATTCCTCTAAGTAAAATATGGAGGGAAAACTTAGAAACTAGTAAGGGTAACTGAGAATGGAAGAGCGCGCGATGTTGCGCTGATGCAACGCAAGCACGAGCGAACCGCCAAAGGTGCGATATGATACGCGACTGAGTGGCCGAAAGTTTGACAGCGCACGAAGATGTGGAGAAAAGCCGAAGGATTTATGAGCGCGCCTTTAGCGGATATGCGAAGGAGATGCGATGCGACTATAGAGCGGGAGAAGAGTCTGACGATGCGTGCAATGAGCGAATGTTCGAACATTATAGCACAACCATTAATACAGTGCGTGATGTAGTCGGCCGAAGGTTTTAGACTTAGAGTCTGAGTGTTGCATGCAAACGGATGATAATTTCGATAGCAGGAAAAGAAGATACATGAAAAAATCATAAGTCTAAGGTATATATGATAGCGCGTGTAGCGTTGTTCGGAACCGAGAAGATAGCAGTAATACATATCAAGGGTCCATAACACAAGTAACGAAACATAAGCGATATCACTTTTGGAAATATAATCAGTCTAATGCAAATGAGATAAAGTACGCACCAATGGACAAGCGGAGGACATGGATAGGATGGAGGAAGGATACGCAATGGAACCAATGAAAGGCGGATGCAAACCAAAGCGTGTGCGTGAGCCGCGGCCATCGGCCAATGATAGGAAGGATGCGTGCCATGGTAGTGATAGTGCACGCTGCGCTAGGACCTAAGGGACACTGCAAAAATAGCCTCTACAAGGCTACAAGGACTACAAGGACTACATCGTGTTTATTTACATGTACTTCGGACCCAAAATATTCAGCCACTACTTTTGCCTATGGGTTTCCGGATTTCTACGTACTTACATATATATTGGACTGACCTCGAGTATTGATCATCATCCAAGTAGTAGGGAGCCATTTTCCGATACTTAGTGGTCAAACCCGATATTTCATAGTTCATAGTTGACATTGCGAATATTACCACTTTTTCTATCTGAAATACCTGTCATTATTGTTAATCCGCATACCGCTTGCTTTCCCGACATTTGCTATTACTATTCCCCATACCTGCTAAACCCAAACCTGAAACCCGCTAACTTGAAACCCAAAAACATCGGACCTGACACTTTGGTATTGGACATCGTAGATATACCTTCGGACATTGTTTCTCACACTCAGGATTTTGACCATATATCGTTTCACTAACTACAGACCTATTCCAAACAGCTGACCCCTTGGATCAAATGCACTTGCTCTGCAAGTATAGCAGACTAGGCTGTGCACAACCACAATACATTTTTATATTGCTGGTTACTTACTTCGTGAAGTGCCCAGCGATTGTTGTATCTCTACAACACCATGATCCAACACTAGATAACACAATCTGCAACTAAGTTCTCTTAGTTAGTAGTGAGCACCTGGTTATACTAAAATCATACCTGAACAGCTGTGTATGAAATAGCCCTAGGCTGAATGGATTTCATTCATAGCAGTTCTATAGTGTCACATCATGTATGCCTCTCCCCTGTAGTCCTTTGGCATTTAGGGAAGTCACACAAAGAAACAAACTCTAATGTATTCTCAGCTGAACTGGGAGATGTGAATATATGCTTGACTGCCTGTAATCTGGCTTTAGTAAGGCTACAATGAGACATAGTATCATTAATATGTACACCTTCATAAGTAGTTCATCTTTGAACAAGCCCTTCATAGGGTTCTTTGGGTTGTAGTATCTATCACTATACAAGTAAGAGGGCCAAGAATAAAACATTGCACAATAGTCAGGATGGTAGTTCCAAATTGCCTCTTAAATACTGACATGTTGATCAGTAATGGGGGTGCCTGATTACAAGTACTTACACAGCATCATCCCAATTATAATTAACAGGACATAGAAGTTGCTCTGTTGTGTTGTGATAGAATCTAAGACAAAACTTGTTTCTATGGAAAATAATGGAGTTCAGAGTTAGGCTGGTCTGCATTAACCAAGATACAAGTGTGAACTTGAGACTAGTAATATCATCCCCTCTGGCTATATCAGCACTCTGATTAAACTATATATAACATGCAAGTTAATGGTTGTGTGATAGTGGCATGGTTTCTTACTTTGCTACATATGGCAGCCAGTTCAGACCTTTCAGCTGAGGACTACATAAGCATTCACATCAAAGGACACCACATCACCAGCTTCTTATAGAACCAATACTATCAATTTTCTCTAATGACAAAGAGCTACATTAGTGTCACTCACTGTTCTTATACAAAACATGCATTTACATCATGTTTGAGAACTCAAAGGCTTTAGCATCAAAACTGTTAGTGGTGCCAAGGGTGGTGCATATATCAAATCTGGAAGCCAAATTATCGATATGTTTTGTAAGACACATAAGTCTTCATATTATACAGCCTTTAAGAGCTTGGCTATAGCTATTGACAATGAGTGATTTATAGTGGGTTCATAGATATAGGACATACCCCTTCCTTTCAGCAGGAGTGCAAAGTATAGTGTTTAGCTCTTCTAGCATAGTGATACATCTCTTCAAAGATAAAAGAGTTTTAGTATGGGAGCTACTTGATGGAGGAGATAGTCACATGAAATAGATAAGAAAAGTCCACTGTAACTGAGTGGCCAATATATAACACTTCAGATAAATACTATACTTGTTCTGTTAGCAGAAACTTTAATATTAAACTTACATCATACAACCATTCATTCAGGTTTGAATTAAGTTAAATTTTTGAGTTAAGAATAGAAGAAGGCCAGTGTTTGTTTAGTACCAGTTCCACAGCCTTGGTGAATAACTAGTGGTTATTAACACATTGTGCTCGTTAATAAGGATGTAGAGCCCACACCTAACTTGATCTATCTAGTCTGATATTATATAGAGATCATATGAAACATATGTATTATGTTGCCTATAGAGTGCAGAAAATTGAAGGCTAGTTGTGTAGGGCTGTTAACATATTGCTGCAGTTGTCAGGCAGATAAATATATACAATTTTTAGCAATGGTAGTTCAAGAGTATGAATGAGCTTGGCTCTTCCAGTCACTTTGATGGATATGTGATGACAAGCCTGCTTTATGCTTACAAAAACTTACTCTTCAACCAAACATTCTGAGAAATAGTATTAGAAACAACACTGATAGTCTTTCTAGAATAGAAACCAAATGAGATTCCAGATCTAGAATTCGAGTATAGTTTAACACTAATGAAAAAAAAGTTAATGCTTGCCCTAATTTCACCCTGCATTATCAAAATTTTAATCAGTAATATCTAATTCTATAGGTGATTGAGTCATAGGTAATGGATTTAGACCATTTATAAGGACAAGCCATACTAAGAGTCGAGAAAAAATTAGTAAAGGATACTGAAAGTTAAATACAATTCTACAACATAGCCCATCTAGGATTGCCTAAGATGTACACTGTAGGTGGTAAAGTTTGAAGGATACACTATGTTTGGCATTTGGTTCAAGTATGTGTGTTAATACTATGACATTTAAGTCAACAGTGAGGTGTAGATACAAAATTGCTGGCCTAGGCATGCCACTAGGTTAGGCTTTGAACTGTACACTTACTATGGTTAGAATGCTCAGTAGTACTAGTAAATCCTACAATTTCTTTAGCTTTCAAGTTTCTTAGATTTAGGCACTCTTGTGGGCTAGTCAGTCACAACTGAGAAGAAGGGTGATATTAGTTGCATATACAATCTTCTCTTTAAATTCAATATTATATTATGCTGGACAGCAGAAATGTGTATAAGTATGATCAAGAAGGATGCCCAGATCAATGCCTTGGCTATTATTGACAGTTATGATATACTTGTGAAGAGTGAAAATAGTACTAATGTTCTTTTATACTATTTTTGAAAATTGTCTAAGCTAATGAAGAACAGCATTAGTATATGATGCACTAGATGAAACACATGTAGAAGAAGTAGAATTGTTATTATTAGTGGCCACCTATAAGCTAAGTAGCACCATGAGACCTAGTTAATGGTGAATTAAATATTGAGTTTAAGTATACTTTGCTGTCACCTTCACTCTTAGATCACCATACTTTTCATTAATAAACTTGTTGACATCCTGAAGGTAGCTGATTTTAAGCCTGTGGTAGGGTCTGTCTTGAAAACAGTTGAATGAAAGCATGACTCCTTCAGCATTTTTACTAATTGTTGTAACACTTTTATATTAGCTCTAGTCTTCTATATTCATATATTCCAGTCTAATTTGTTTAGCCACTCTACTGAAACTAGAGTAGGTGACTGCTGGAAGATCATATTTACTTTGAGACTAGGCTTATTTGTAGCTACTTGGAAAACATAGTCATCTACATAGGAAAGTGTCAGATAGTGTCCTTCAGTATTACTGATACTAAAATGTATAAGAACTAAATAATATGTCATTACTCTAGAATTACAGTAGCCTTTCTGAGTTTAAAGGTAACATTAGCTTTGTATTTTATTTTGATGTAATCTCAAATGTTACTCACTCTAGATGTTATAGATATTTAATCCTGAAAATATAATCCTATAAAAAACCATCTTTTTAATATTACCTACCAATTATCTTGTGTCTGGTGCCTCTGATATGACACAAAATATATTGCTAGTGAACAAGCATTTTTAGCAGCTGAAATAACAATCACAAAATATCATAATTATTCAAAGACTAGTGTAATGATACAACAATAGCTGAGCACTATACAAAGTAAGCACTCAGCCAAATATAAATGTTGTGGTCTTGCATAGCCTAGTCTGCTATACTTGTGAGACAAGTCTGTTCAATCCAAGGGGTTTGCTGTTTAATAGTAGAATAATTAGTTATATGCAAAAGAAGATAGTCTGAAGGAAAACATGTCAGATCTGATACTTTCATGTCAAGTTAGGTGTCAGGTTGCATCAGGTTATGTTGGATTGTGTCAGGTTGTATCAAGAATATGTCAGAATGTTAGAGAATATTGGAAATAGCAAATCTTAAGCTACTATCAGTGTTTTGGAGATATTTTAGAATTCAGCTAAGAACTACTAATATCAGATGATCTCCTCCTACTCGGAGATAGAAAGGTAAGTAAAGTAATAGGTAGGAGGTATGCAAAATATATAATGTCTATGTAGAATTTCAGAGTGCTATAGGTGAAAGTAGTAGTGATAATTTTTGGAACTGATGTTCTATGTAATAAGATATGTAGTACTGCGGACATATAATAATGTGGTCTATTGAATGTTAGCAACATGAAAATGAATAACTGTGCACCTAGTGGAGATAGATATGATAGGACATGACATAGGAAGGATATTATCTAATAGGCCAATATAAAATCCGATGTCTGATGTGAAACCCAATAAACCCAATGTTTGGGTCTGATGAATGTCCAATCAGATAGCTAGAAATATGATCAGACAGAATGACATTGACATGCTTTATAAAATAGCCTAATATGGGCCCAATGCAAGCCTGAGCATTATACTGGTGTAGTAGAGTTCAAGTTCTTCACTTTATGTTTTAGTGAGACTTGATTTTTTGTGAGCCTGCTTCAACTTCTATTCTAGAGGCTAAGTTGGAGATTGAATTAATTAGAGAGGCTGGTAATGGAAATGTCTTGCTATTAGAGGAGTCTGATTTTGAATTTAAGTATCAGAATAGAAAAATTAAGCTTTTGTTATATTTTAATATTAGAAGCCCTAGCTCTAGTCTAAGCCAAGTCTAAATTAGGTCTAGGCCCTCTAGGTGGACCTGTCCTGAGTTTTAGCCAGCCCTAAGCTCTCTGAAGCTAAGCTTAAGCCAAGACTTCTAGGCCAGACCAGACCTAGCACATCACTAAGTAGTGAGGCTTAACTATACTAGAGCACTTTAGCACTTTCTATAGTAATCAGTATTTCCTTTATAGGATAAAATATAAAAACATATGCTATATAATTTACCTGTTTACTATTATGCACTCAAATAAATATATTATGCAAAGCCCTAAGAGGGGCATTCATTGTCTGCAAATGTTTGTGATGTAACCAGAAGGGTTCAGTGTAGCAAGCAAGACTGGCAATAAAGTTGGTAGTGATTGCCTTATGTACATATTATGTGACTAGCTAGAACCTAGCTGCTATTTGACCCTAAAGGATTTCTGGACCAGGCTCAAGGCTCAGAGAAGAGGAAATATCATAAAACTTACTGAAGACTCAGACTCATAGTGGTAAATGATGACAACTAACTTTCTTCTGTAAGCTAAAGTGCAAACATAACACTCAGTAAAACAGCCTCTACAAGCCTAGCCAGGAATGAGTTTCTACAATGATGTAGGTGAAGAATATAAAGTAGTGGGAAGTGGGTGGTGTGAGATGTACTCAGATGGTTCTCTATATACAAGCTAATGTCAGCCCAAGGGGATTGCTACTGAGAAGGTTCCTCTATGTATGTAATATGGAGGGAAACACTAAATCAGGTGCTAAGTCAAGCCTGATAAGCCGCACAATGATATGTAAAGTGCAGGAAAGCAGAAGCACTATGAAGTGCTACTGTGTGATAAGATGTGGCAGTGTGTGCGTGCGGGTGGTTAGAACACAGCAACCCTAAAGGAGTCGAAAGATAACAAGAAGAAGTTCTGGCAAGAATACAATGATTGGTGCTGATATACATTTAGGTGCTTAGTGTCAGTTGGTAGCCACAGCAGAAACTTTAGACTTAGAGTCCAACAATATGTGAGAAGATTGTGGTTACTTATTAAGAGAGAAAATAATTCATAAAACTATGTAAGTATCATTAAGCACTATCAAGCACTGAGATGAACTGGAAAGCAAAGTGAGTATGTGATAGTATGTAATGTAAGGGTCCATGACACAACATATGGAATGTGTGCACATAACACCAGAGATATTATCAGAATACATAAGAATTGAGTAGGAATACACACTAATAAACTGAATGGACATGGAATGGATGTACAGAGGACAAGCAATGGAGCTGAGAATGCATGCTGTAGGTATACAACATAGAGTGGGGCTATATGAAGATGGCTCCAAACTGATATATTAATGTTGTAGTCTTA